GAAGAATAAAAGTGTCTATATTTGTATTCATAAGCTATTATGGTCGCCCAGTTTAAAACAATGGCTGTAGTTGATTCCAAATGATATTGTTCAGTAGTGAGATTTTGTTGGAAATAAACATTCACAACGGACGCATTTTTGATTGCAGTTGTCATAAAATAACGTTTACACATCACTACTAATTTGAAAACAAAATGTTGTGAAACTCTCGCGAAACAAGTCAGTTGCAGATGCCACAAGTATTTGGAGTTTGACAATGCTTAAATCAGTAACACCTTCCATTATGAATCGTACCCACCAAGTGAAATCAAAAGTCAGAAGCGAGGAGGTTCGAAGGTATATTTGATAGGTTATCAATATATTGAAGATCGTCTGATCTAAGCTCGCTAGCGATCGCAGGGGTTGTTGAGCACAGCGTTATCACTCGTGATCTGATGCGGATGCATGACCGACTGCCTTCACCTAGTTGAGTCCATTAAAACAAATATGGTCAGCATCCAATGTCGAAAGCTTACAGAGCTATTTATTTCGGGGATTTATTTAACGCTACACAGATTCTATTCAATCAAGACAATAACGCAAATAGTAAAAATCCAGTTTCTATATTTTGTCAACAAGATTACATAAGTTATTACGTATACAATCATAAGAATGTACATAATTCCATAAAGAAATTGTCCAAACTATTGAAATGAATAATGATATGGAAAGTGTTCTAAAGAAGTAGTACATGAAAACAATTCGGAATAATAAAACAAAGTTATAAGAGATTTCTAAGAATCATTCTTCACTTCTGTTTCTTTTATGTAACCATTTCCAAATTATAAAACCAACACATACAACAAAGAAAATGATGATCAAAGGAATCACAATATACAAGTACCAGGATGATTTCTTCTCTACATTCTCTTTGGTTATTTCAGTAGTCATGTTCTGAAGAAAAACAAAGTAATAGCATTAATTACTAAATATCAAATATTTACCGAGGGTTGATCAGTTTCTTCTCCAGCGCTTGATGTTGTTTCAATGTGTTTGGTGGATGTTTGTGTACTCAACTCATTCACTTCTGGGATATGCTTAATAAATAAAACAAAAGCATTGATTACCAAATGTCAATTAATTCAGTAATCATTATGCACAATTGTCAGCACTGATAATAGAACAATGTTCAACAAATGGTTATGCAATTTGCATTTGTACAATCATTTAGAACATCCACTACCGAATTGACAGTCTGTATGCTGAGTACACACCATTCTGAAACTGATGGACGACTCAATTGTGTGATGAAATTTGTATTTTGAATGTCGCATCTAATCACAATCCGAATAAAAACCAAAGTAATGTAACCAGGTTCTGAACATCATCCACTCATTATCAATATATGATACACTATTTCCAACAGGTTACACTTCTTCAATCCAACTGGTTTCATCGGTATTTTGCGACAATCCACATAGATATGTGGTTTCTAAAATAACCACACATTTTCAATGAGCTGAAATATCATTATTTTTTCGAGTATTAGTGACAATGGACACTTTGATCCATGGTTTACTCATTCCATAGAAAGAAAGCATGGCACTCATATAAGATTAGTTGACGTCAATGTATACAAAACTTTAATTTAGCCATTGAGGGTAGTATACGAATTATTTTTTATTCGTAAAGAACAAAATATTCCTTTGGGTGAATGGATGTACGCGAAATGTGTACTTTTCTAATATTGGAAACAACCTGTGAAGAATAAGAAGTACTAACTTTAACACGGCACTTATTATCTTTCATGGTATGAGCATTCTGGTCAGTACTATCAATGCATATGTCTGCATTTTCACACCAAAAACAAATTATATCCGATTTTGTTGCGCGTTCGCATTCTTTAGGTGAAGTGTGTTTTGGACAGTAGTCTGTGAAAAGAATGAGATGATTTAATTTCAAGTAACCAAACAAAAGGTAAGTGAATAACAAAACATGTAACAATAACCCAATGATATAATGGTGATTTCGGCGTGAAGTGACAATTTCACTCACTGGAAAATTGTCACTACGATGCATAATGCAATATTCCGTGCGACATCATGTTTGAATTGAATGAAACTATATCGAATGTCAAGTATGAACGATGGATTTCAGTAACTGTTTATATTCAGATATATACGAACGATACTGTCAGTGGGCTCAGCAAAGCACATTGCATTGAATTTTTTCATTTTTGTACAGTGTCTTTAGATCATATCAGTTTTATGAATGCACTTAGTTCAAGAAACTCAGTTGTTTTCAGACTAAATATCGAGTTTTAATTATGTTAATCCAGTAAAACGACAAACGAAGTCTGACATTGTTTTTATAATGATCAATGATGGTTTTCTTGAAGAGATTTCAGTCGACCTACTGTGATGGATGACATCAAACTGCACTCTGTTCTTTGTGCTGTCAGTTAATCTATGAAACTAGTTGGATCAGTAGAGATTCATTGATGAAAAATGGAGTATCTTATTCGAAAAATATTGACGGCAATCTGATTATTCTATCATGGAATGATTCTCTCACTACTAAAATTAATATTTCAGTGGACACAAAACATGGAGAATTAAAATCTGTTTATAGTTACTCAGTGTACATATTTATGAGATGGTACACATTTTTATAATGTGGAAATATTTCTCAAACTGGCTATGATAAATTGTATTTTGGAGACATGACTTATCCATACCTTCAATTAATCGTATATGTATGGCAATCGTTTCCAAAGTATCCGCATTTACGAGAAGTGTTTTCGCAAATTCAATACCTCAGCAAGATTTCATTTCACATGTACCATTGGAAACTACGGACACTTTCTCGTCGACGCGCAATCCACTGACGGATACGTAATCTTATACAAAACTAATATCATCTCATAAATCGTTTTGTTGCTTTGTTGTCAAGTCACCATTTGATCAAAGTGAAGACTTCAGTATTGGTTCAAATTGGATTTTGAATCCGTTTCATTATTCACAAAATGAGTCGATGTGTAGTTCCTAATGATATTTGAAATATCATTTAGGAGAGATAGCTCGATATCATTTGATAGTTGAATAAAATTATACATGGAATGTTCAAATTGTTGAAATAGAAATGATGTTTTCAAGAGTGAAGATAATTATTGCTGATTCAATAAGTTTTAACATACCTCCAATGAATTCATATTCCACCAACGTGCCAGTTTTGATCCATTTTTCAGGAGTAATTATATGGTATTCTATTTTATCATGTGTGATATATTGAACAAGAAAATACAACAGGTTATTTGCATCATCGTTGAATGTTCACAAATCAATAACATTTGAACGCTGCTTTTACAAGACGCATATCAATTTCATTTTGCACAATTATCCACAACACTTCAATGACATTTATATCAGTTGATTTTACAAGCAAATCAAATCTTTAAAGTAAACTGTAACGAGACGAAATTAGATCACTGTGATAGAATAAAGGAATGTTCTGTATTGACGTGCTGATAACCAGGGTACGAACAGAAATTAATACAACACAAAAAGATGACTGATGATACGAGTAACCTGAGACAAATGAGCTAACAACATACGTTAAAATGTTTCTTACTATTTCCACATCCGATTGTCGGTTCCCATTTAATTTCTTTAATTTCCGTTGAAACCTGAAAGAAAATGTTGATAGTTCAAGTCATGATCTCTGAACGCACAACCCCCTAGATGAAAATGAAGTGCTTCACTTCTGATTATTCACTGGTTTCAACAAGTGCTTGAATAACATGTGTCATCAAAGGTTGAATAACAGTGTTAAATATTCTGTTTGCACATTACAGAATGTTGCCACATTCTTTTCGTGTTCAATGTAACTAGTTATATATTTGACAGTATTCATAAACAGGAAATACTTGAGTAATCTGAAGTACTCGAAACAAAACTACATTTGCATTCAATTGTGCAACTTACTTTATCATAATAGAAAACTATCCTACCATTCGGATGTATTAGGCAGGTTACCTCAGCTGTCAACTCTACAATTAGAAAACCATCGATATTTAAAACTTCGACGAAAAAAATGACCAAATTATCGGTAGATGTAACATTGTATATTTCAGCGCATAAAGTGATCATGTTTCAGTGAATAGTTACTGTGTTATGTCAAATATTTTCTTCAGTTGGCTTCATGTTAGATAATTTCAAGTGAACGTCATGAGAATAAAAGAAGCATGCATCCTACCTAACGAATACAAATGCCTGAAGCTGTTTCACTTTTGTATTAAATCTAAAACAATAAATCAGTAATTATTCCATTAAAATCCAATGGCCAATTAAGTATCCGTATGTATGCGACATGCAATCTTCAATGTCTTCTGAAACAATCGACACTGAGTACACATGACATAAGATTTGCAGTATTTGCATAAACATTGGACTTAGGAATTTAATTGGTTGTGTGGTTACGTGATATTTCAATCGATCAACTGAATACGACCATAGTGTTTATTTGTTGTAGATGAGAAACGAATAGCCTTGGATGGTAATACGGATAATCTTCAAATATTTAGGTGGATAATATTTAGGAGTGACGATGAGAATAATGGATGGGTAGATGAATGTGTTGTGTACAGAACTGACTTTGTGACCAGCATACAACACAATGTATTTATTTTGAAACTGAAACTATTCATCAAATTCAATTCAAGCCTGTAAATCTCAAAGAATCTCTGAATTCGTTTTCACACAAATGAAATAAGATTATGACCTGATTTATCCACCATTTGACTCATCAACCAAAGTCATTTCCACATCATATCAACTATTCTTCAAATCATATTCAACGTCATCAAGCGATCTGTGGATTTCACAAATAATTCTACCCTGATTTCTCTGAAAAGTGACAAATTCCTACATTTTCAGTTTCAGAGATAAATCGAATCTGACAAACTGTGAATAATCATATGGAATGAAGATGTAAGTGTTTAGATTCCACATGTGTTGACTTACGTTTACCATAAACTTCTTTATTAATAAACCATCTGACAGCAAATAATTCCTCTGAAATAATGAAAATAAAAATGGATGTTTAAATATCTGCATAATGAATATCTATCACTTTCAATAAATGAAAGATTAACACGGACTACATTTGCATGCAAGTTATGATGTTCATTCTGAGACTTATTGAATCGATGTAGTCAAATACTCAAGTACCTTTCATGTGGTAAGTTCAAGAAATATTATCACCTACATCCGTATGATTAATGTCTCAATCCATCCAACTAAGAAGAATGTTTTACTTCCGTAGCATCTGTTCTAGGAAATTTAGACTGTGGTACAGACTGTTAGTATCTAACTGACAATATTCATATAATAACATTTTCTGAGATGTCGGTTATTAATCAATTCTGATAACTGACCAAAAACGGATGTTTTCAACCTTGGTGTTCTAGTTTGAGTTAACCATCTTATGATAACAGAATATTATTAACATTTCATTGCTCAGCAGTTTCAAGAAGTGCCTGTATTGAAATTTGGTAATAATACGAATGTGATTGCAAAGATCGAGTCCAAAACTCGATGGTAAACAAACAGCAAATGCAAAAGCAAACAGTAAATGCCAGAAAAGTATTGGAAGACATGAAATATGTCTTGATAGTTCATAGATTTCAATAATTCAAAATGACGTCTCTCTTGCACATGTGATAAGTCCGATTCATTTAGTTTTCAAAGACGTATCGTGTCGATGCCGAAATCTGCTAATTTGTAGTCTTGATCTACTGTAGAGTTGGTAATTAGCACTCGTACAATAACATCACTTGGTTTTCTTCATTTCGACTCTTCCAATGTGTTTGTATTTTGTGATAAATCTCTGTTTTGTTTCATATTTTCACATAATAGTAATCAAAAGGTGTTGTGAAACACACATGTTCCTGGACGACAACCAAACAAACAAAACAATCATTGTGTGTTGATGATCTCTTGTGTAATACTCAAGTAAAATAGAGAATGATGTATGCCAAATGAAGTGTGGGAACAAGTAACAAAACAAATTATAACTGAATCATACAAGAACTCACCCTCATTCAAAATCGCAAATTCAGAGTATATTTTTTTTGCGGAACAAGCTTGAATAAATCCGAGGTGGTTTCCTCCGAATATATCTATGCCACCTGTATTTATTTATTGAAAACATGAAACATGATTGACCATTTTACATTGAATGAAATAAACTAAAGACTTAAATGATTTGCATGAACTGCATCTGAATTTCTATAAAGCGTCACACTATCTACACAATTTTAACAAGAAAAGGATATCCGAGGAACTTTTGCGTGTTTCAAGGGGTATAAAACTAATTTAATAAAGAAATGGAATCAAATTTGATTCATGGACAGAAATGTGATCAAGAAAATTAAGTACTAATTTGAGGTCAAAGAAAATTACTGACTTACCATCAGGATAAACATCTAAACGTGTGACTTGACTGCTGTAATATTTTAACGACAGTTTCGGAATGCTTTTCTAAAAAGACATAATTACAGGGACAAGTACTTTCATCAAAAAATGTATTCAACTCACCGAAGATTTATTGGATTTATTTGAATTTGGATTCACAGCCGGCTGAGATTGATTAAAACTGATGCGCTGCAAATACATATAATGTTGAGACTGAGTATATGTATAACGATCAAACTGACTACTTACATAGTGATATGAAATATTTTCAAAAATCAGTTTTTCATTGGTCTTCCATTCAAGTTGTTTACAACGATCCTGGCATTTGTAGAACTCGGTAAGCGAGATGATAATTAGAAAGAATGACATCCATTGAGCAGTTAAAATGTTGTGTCTAAAATGGTTCAGATGAAATAAACAACATAATCTCATTGTATCGATTTTTAAATTGAGTTCGTCTGTTCAGTCAACACTTACCTCATCTTCTTGTTCAAAGTGGTAAATCATATTTGAGTAGAAAGTGTCAGGTTTATATAGAATTTTGAAGTGTCAGGTTGTTTACTACTGATTCGATGATTCAAACTGACCATTAAGATGAATATACGTGGTAAAATCGTATGCTCATCGTTAACCAATCATAGATGTAGATGAGACCATCTTTATCCAATATTTTTCTGGTTGTTGAGAATATGAGCTGAAATGTATCCACAGTTGTTTGAAATTCCTGACCCCTATTGATGAAACCTATCATGGATGTGATTACCGATAATTTATATTCGACGATTGGTTAAATTGTAGGTCAAAACATCTACTCATATGTTCATGAACAAACAGTTTGTTGTCCGTAATAACTTGTTAATTGACATTTAATAGTGCACCATCTTGATTGGATTGGTTAAAATAAAAGTAGCACAAACTGTTTTGATTGAATGTGAAACGTTACACATTTACATTTGAATTTCATTTCAAAAAACACATTCTGTCAAACGATTACCGACGTCATTTAATATGAACTGGTAACTTGTGAGCAAAACCACATCCATTCTATTTGTCCATCATAGAATTTGGGATTATTTATGTCTGGGTAATATATACAAAAGGTTTTCTTCTCATGGTACAATAGGGGTGTGGTGTTTAATTTTAGTGAGTCGTCGGCATTGAGAAAAATGTCGTTTCCTCGGGTATTACAGTCTGAAGTCGAACAAACAGTTGTACTGTAATTTCGTGAATTTATCAACATCCAAATTGTGTTCAATGATACGTTATCCGTTTCATGTCGTTCATCATGATCTATTTACAAGAGGAAAACACAGTATGACTTTGTCGTTATGCGATGTCAACTAATATAGCTTGTCAATTCTTGCATAAAACCTATTACTCTTTACTGTTCTTCATTATCCATTCATGGGCATTGGAAAAATGGAACTTTGATGTGTTGCCGTGAGGGCTGGAGGCAGTTTGCAAAGAATGCGGAGAATCTTGTGAGGTCATTATAAGTAGGGTTGTGGATAAACATTTCTGTCTAGCTAAATCCTGACAGGTGTTCTCTTATCAGGTACTAACCACCCATTTCATTTATTTGTCTCTCCTTGTATATCTTTTGCTAGAACGTGATACCAATGCATTAGAATCCATGTATGCAAGCAAAAGTATAAGAATCCTACAATATCTTATCTGGATAGAACTACTCCTAATTTTTCAATTTAATTTTGTGATGACAGCACAAATGATCGTCATATAAATGTACATCGACCCGTATATGCACTGAAGGCACAACTGATGATGAGCTGAAAAGAATTGATTCAAACCTATGTCAAATGACTGTGATAAACAGTATTTGTCAGATAGAAAGCGACAGGTGATTTAAGTTCTATATTATCTGACGCCGATTTTTCGCTGTTTTAATTGTTTATAGTTTTTGTATTTTCTCTCATCTCCTGCATCTCTATTTTACTCGACTTCATAATCTGTAAGACACCTGAAACATATAGCTCATTTGTGTTTATCTTGAGAAATATTTGAGAACGCATATTAGATCAGAAGAACATAAATGGTAAATGTGATAATTCTATGTGATATTCAAACACGTATTCCTGACTGAATCGTCAAGTAACAGTCGTTTATGTGAACAGATTTGAGAGGACGAAAGTAGTGCATGTTGTGTTCATGTCGGAGTAATACGGTTCATCGAGAATAACATCTTCTTGTTGGACATTATTATCTACTGAATCACTTCAATCATACTTTCTAGCTGTGAAACACACTATGATCTTGAGTTAAATAGAGGTGTAAAAGCTGAGTGTCCAGTTGACCATAATAGATATGACAAAATGATAACAATTAATGCAACAAATAACCAGTGATAATGATTATGGAACTGAAATCACTCACCACAATCTCACTTAGTATCACCAATTCATTAGCACTGAAACGAATGACGACGTTTAAATGACTCAAGTTTTCTTCCTGACGATATGGATCGATGTACAGTCGATTTCATGTGTGATTTATTGGACGGTTAGTAGTCTCTGGTTAATCAGAGACGAATTACAAAAATAGTAAAGATATTCGAACTCATTCAATTAGATGAACTGATATGATATTGAGTCGAAATAATGAATAACATTCTATTATGCGAGGTAATAATTAATAGATAGATTGGTGAAATTTCAACCCATACTTCAGAATGGTTTGTCGGATTATATTCAGCTCATCATGAGTTCTTTCTTCAGTGAAGCGTGGAGCACAATTTTGTGTTCGACATTAAAATATTCACATATCGGTAATAAGTATAAGGATACTTGCAACTATAGAAGTCTGTGAACCGTTTGTAATCAATGTTGACACATTCACTTGTTTGCCGATCATCAAATTTAAATTGATTCCACGTTTCCCCATTCCAACCAAATCAACATATTTATTCTAAGAGAATATTTAGTTTGGTACTTTATATCTAATATGATAGAATTAAATCAACACTGCCAACTAGATAAACATAGGGTTGACTACTGCTCAGTGATCAGTTAGTGTACCCACTTCATAAATTCGTAGCTCAAGAATCATACTGAACAAAGTAACCAAACACTTTAATACAACCTGCCTATCAAACCAATTTGGACTAGACGTTCACTTTCGTAACAAATAGTGATAGGATTTGAATTCTAAGAGAAAATTGCGTTGAACTTCAGATAGAATATTAGAATAATCTAGATGACATTGAATATATTCAATTATGTAACAAGTCGTTTTCGTGATTATAAGGCATTGACAGGAGTTCATTATCCACGTGAGATATTAGTTAGTAATTTATGTTATTATTAGCACGAAATGCTTCCTCATTATTGGTGAACGATGATGGTACAGAATAAAATTTGTTTATCTGGAGATGTCATGTTATTTTATTTTGGAGGTCTAGTCGATTATAACTAAGCTTCATTTTCTATAATAGAAACTTGACAAAATTAACCGCGTTTGTTTTTCAAGGTATTTTGTAGGTAGAAGACTACTTGATACTGTTCAGGAATATAGTAACCAGATTTCTGTGCTTAAAATGAGTTTTCAGGATAATACAAAATATTTGTGCGCGAATATGGAATGAGGGATCGTAAATGTGCACCGCTGAAGAGTCCCATACCAGGACTAATCTGCTATCAAATGCCTCCAGATTTTCAATGGTCGATCGATCCGTTAACTCCATTAAAGTCTCAAAAATCTCCACAACCCAATACTGATAATCCTAAGGCGTTTAGATCACTTTTTTAATTTACTGTTCTGTTGTGACATTATGGTTTCCCAATGAAAGTTAAAGGGTAAAAACTATTTAGATGAACGAATGAAGACTAAAATATAATATGACGACAAGTTTTACGTAGCAAAATATGTCATACATAGAACGTTAGCTTTCTTCATTCAACTTAAATGTTATTCAATGAATAATTCTCTGTTTGAATTAGAATAATTCAAAATGTAAATGCCAACCAACAATCATATATTTCAGTAGCTATTTAAATGATGTAGAACAGACGCAACAGACAAAACGCTCTTTTATGATACTTCAAGCCTTTGCTTCTCATCTAAACTAAGATTTTCCACGTCGTCTGACATCGAAATAAGTCTAGAATCACTATTATGATAATCAATCCTATTTGAGTCTGAACCATTACACTTAAGGACATCAAAAGGCACTTGCATTGTAAGAGGTGATCCATCATTTGGTTTAGCTCCACTAACAACAACGTGTTTTGAGCTTGAATTCCTTTGACGAGTGTTCGGCATCTTGAGCGAAGCAACCAAATATCTTTAGAAACGATAATTGAACTCCACGAAACGGTAAACAAACAATCTCAATCAATTGATATTTGTTCAGAACTGTAAGATCCAAACTAAGTTTTAGACTGAAGAATAGCTGCCTAAGTGGGTCAGATATGCGCCCTTGCCCGATGAAAGTCAAAAGCAAAGGAATTGGGTAAAATAACCGTTCTAATATTCATCATAAAGTTGAATGCACATCGTCGCCTAAACAAATACGACCACCCAGCTATCCAACCAATAATTGTTCAATTAACGAAATCTAAATTACAATAAATAAGGAAGTTGATAAAGGATGCGAGAAAATTACCAATCACAACAAATCAGTGGTATTCTATCCTGTCTGGCTAGATCACGCGCAGATTCATTCAAAAGAGTGCCTCAATGCACAATTTCAGTCAATACAAAGCGACAAAGTCAAAAGGAGGAACAAACCAATAAGGTTGCCGCCAAGACCAAGTATCAATTGAAACAACATAAATGCAGTTCAGGAAAAAATCACGAAAACTTAGTGAAGGTGTAAGAAAAATAGAAACTGTAATGAAATTCAAATATTAACAACTCAAATGGAATCAAAAAGACTAACAATGTACAACTAAAGGAATCAATAGAAACAAACTGCAAGGGCAAACATGGAGGGATTCACACACACAAAGCATTTAAAATGGATCTTACATAAACCATTCCTAATGAAGTGGCTTTCACAGACTTTAACAGAAATATGTTTATAGTAGCTCAAACCGTATAAAGTAAATGGTCGTTGTGTCATTCTCTTCAGTTTCCACAGTTATATTATCCAGCCTAATCATCCGAAATCCGATCAAGTGTAAGGCGATACCCATCGTTGAAAAAAGAATAACATGTGAATTGTAATAGCTCTACGCATTGAATGAAATTGTAAGGTTAATGATCAGAAATAAATATGGATTACATAAATTGAAAGACAATAATGTAAAAACAAGTCAGAAGTTATGTAATATGTAAATTACTATGAATGACGTACAAATTGGTGAATGAGGTGGAGTAAGTGCTGGATAAATTCCCTAATACGTTTCATCTTTTTCAACATATCTGAATGAGTATAAGCTATGAAAATACAAAGAACATGGTTGTGGGCATAATTTTGTGTTATAACTTCTGGACTGTGTGCCCTGTTAATGTATACGTAATGATA